GCCGGCGCGGTGAGACCCGGTGCTGGGGAGTTCGCCAGCCTGAGCGCGCTGTTGGCGCAACCATCGCGAGCCCGCACAGCTAGCACCTCACTTGAGGAGCCGAGAACGAGCTGCGAGAGAGGCCCCACCGGGCCCGGGGGGGGGGGGGGGGGGGGGGGGGGGCGCCCGGGTGCCCCGGCCACTGGCTCGGCCCGGAGTCCTCGGGCGCCAAACGCTGGGGGATAAATATTAATATCGCGCAGTGCCCGTGTCATCCGGCCGGGCAGCGGGAGGCTGGTGCTCCCTTCCCCGCCCCCCCTCGGGCGGGTGCGGCGGGGACCGGCGGCGCGCAGGTGCGGGTGCGGGGGGGTGGGGGGGCCGTTCCACTCCAGTTGCTCTCTGTGTCTCTTCCTCCCTCCCGCCGCCTGCCTCTGTCCGTCCGCGTCTCCCCCGAGAGCCTAGTTTACCGGCCGGCGGGAGCCGCCGATTTCCGCACGCAGAGACCCGCCGGCCGCGCCCCCCTGCTGCCGCCGGGCGCACCCGGGCGCGAGGGAGGGAGGTCGGCGACGGTGCGCTGCCGCTATCCCCCTCTGCCCGCCGGGCGCCCGAGCCCCTGTGCTGGCACCGGCGCCTGGGGGGGGGGGGGGGGGGAGGGGGGCACGGGGTAATCCTAACATGGAAATATGCGCCGCCCTTGCCTGCCCACCCACGCCCCCTTCTCCCGGCGGGGGCATCTATTTGTTCGGGGCGGGGCGGAAGGCTGTTTATCGGCCAGTGGCCGCGCGTCGCGCGCGCCCCCCCCCCCCCGCGGACTCCCGCACGCGCAAAAACCTTTGCGGGCACTGCCGGGCACGCCAGAGGGTGTGCTGCGCGCGCGCGCCCTCTGGCCCCCCCCCCCGTCCCCATGCGTTAATAAGCCGTGGCAGTTGGCGCGCCGACTCCCGCCGGTCGCCCTCGGGCACCCCGCGGCGGCCGACGAGCCGGCGATCCGCCGGTCGGGACTCCCCCGGGCGCGGCGAGCGGCGGGAAGCACCGGACACGGGGGGGGGGGGGGGGGCGAGCACACGCACAGAGGGAGGCGCTGCGGCCGTGCCGGGGCGGTTGTTTTTGTTTTCGCTCCCGCGTCCGGGAAACCCCCCTGTGCCGGCACGCACCCGCGCGGCTCCCTCCGCCCCGCGGCGCGGGGCGTGCACACCACGCGTTGGGCCGTCTCCCAGTGGCGGGCTTTTGCTTTCAAACAGTAATACCGGCCTTTACATAATTCCATGGGCCGGCGCGGCGGCGCCAGGAGGCCATCCCCGCCCGGGGCACTCCTTCACACACACACACACACACACACACACGCACACAAGGCCGCGGCGTGGTTCTCGCGCGCGCGCGCGCCCCCAGGCCCCGGCAGCAGGGGGCAGAGCCCTCAGGGGGCGGCCGGGTCGCCGGTGGTTGGGCCCATTGAGGCACTGTTTTTTTTTTGACACTTTCTCTCCCCGCCAGAGGGCGGGCGCGCGTCCGTTGCCCCGCGCGCGCGCGCGCTCTCTCTCTCTTTCCCTCGCTCCCCTGCTCCGGCTGGCCCACACAAGGGGGACGATCCCGTCGGCCGAAGCCCGCCCCCGAGGCCATATCACTCCCCTGTGTCACTCGCTCCCCCCCCCCCTCCCCCCTTCCACACCACC